ATAGTGGCAGTGAAGGGAACTTCTCCTTCATCAAGGCTCCTTCACAAACTCTAAAACTGATTTTTTTCACTGTCTTTTAAACGTTTCACTGATGAGTGTGAACTTCACAGATGAGTTGCTAAGATTGGGCTGTGTGCACAGCTCCTCCTCCATCCCTCAGAGGTTACAGCTACCCTTAGTGTCTGACTCTCTGTGAGCTCTACCTACCCTGGTTCCAGGGAGATCACAGGGCCCTCCAGCTGCTGAAAGGCCTGAGCACAGTCAGGGCTGGCGGATCTCACCCATCCTCTCTGAGTCCACATTGATTCCCGGAAGAGCTGTCAGCTCACTGCACCAAACACATGGAACCCCCACATCCGTCCACACGAAGGACCCCTGCTGTCTTGCAGGAAGCAGTGCTAACCCCATCGTGGGGACAGGTGACCCTGTGGGCTAAGATGTGCATCTTCGAACTCCTCCCTCCACCTTTTCTCCTGAATTCAAGGTTTTCTAGCTTCACTGTGGGTGCAATGTGCATTAGTAGCATGTTGAAAGCTGAGGAGCCGTCCATAGGACCCCCTGCATTCATACTGCTCTCTTACTAGTTGCCCAGGAAACACAGAGTCACATAGACACATAGTCACACACACACAGAGTCACAAACAGTCACACATACAGGCACACACACACATAGTCACACACACAGTCACACATTCACAAAGTCGCACACTCATTTCTGGAAAAGACATGCATTCATACATGAGCAGTGATACAAAGACATGCATTCAGTCATGTCATTAGACACTATACTTTATGAATCCTATATAAGAAATTTTGGTTATATTTCATTCTCTTGGATGCCAAATGAAATAAATATGTGGTCTGCAAGCAACTATTATTTCAACACGGACCACACCTTGTGAAAATTTACAGTTGTATTTCTCAGTCTACTTAGTAGAGGCTCAAATTAGGAATTTGCTCTCAACTTTGCTAGATTGCTACAAATTTAAAAAAAAAAACTTAAGATAATATTGAAAATCTTTCACCAAATAAAAGCCAAGGGCCAAATGGATTCAAGGGAGAATTCTACAAGGATTTCAAATAAGAATTAATAAATTTTAAACCAACTCTTCTTGAACTCTTCCAAGATTTAAAGAAGAGGCAACTTTGTCAAACAGATATATTGAATTGACCATTACTCTCATATCAAAGCCAAGTAAACATACAAAAATGACAGGTCCATATCCCTGATGAACATACATGCAAAAACCCTCAACAATATACTAGGAAACTTAACAGCACATTGACAGGATCATTTACCAATATATAGTGGGATATTGTCCTAGCATTTGTATGCAAGGATTGTTCAATATATGTAAACCAGTAAGTATGATACATCTCAGCCACACAATGAGGGATAAAGTATCCTGTATAATAAAAGCCTAATATGCAAATTGTCCCCTCGACTGGAGTTGGGCTGGGAGTTTGACTGCTCAACCAGTCACTATGATGCACACTGACCATCAGGAGACAGATGCTCCAACCAGTAGGTTAGCTTGCTGCAGACACTGGTGGGCTGGACTGGAAAGTGAGGTGTGAGGTGACAGCCTTCAGGAAGCTCCCAGGGTTTGGCCTGTGCCCTGGGTGTAGGCGGGCAGGTATGGGAGCCAAGAGGGACCAGGTGGCATGGGAGGCTGCTATGCATTATCTGAGAGCTATGGACTGCACAGCCTTCTGCAGCCTGTGGCATTCTCAGTGTTCAATTTATAATCTTCAGCGCTGCTTCTTTTTATGTGCTAAGTTTCACTAACTACTCCAGGAGAGTGGGTAGCACCATTAAGGAGGGGTGGGTAGACAGGCCAGGCAAGCCTGCCAGAGGAAGAAGCTAAGGGACAGCCTCGGGCTCCCTGGAATGCAGCAGAGAGGGGGATGGGGCTGAGTCAGGAAAATGGAGTCCGGAACTTGAAAGGAAGCAGGAGGCAGTGAGGGGCGGAAGGTGACTGCTGTGCATGGGCCTAGAAAAGCTGCTGGGTGGGAGCAGCCTAGGAGTCTGGTGCCTCTCCCACAGAGCAGGCTCCACATCCCTCCCTCCTCTTCCCCATGACCCATCACCCCAGAGATCCTTTGAGGCCCTTCTGAGCTCCCCCTGCACAGCTCAGCACCACATCTTGGCCCTGCAAGGTGCCGCCCACCCTGCCTAGCTCACACCACCTAGCCTGCCCAGCATAGCACCACTCTGCCCTACACAGCCTTTGGGGAGCTCTGTCTCCAAAGGAGAAAGGGGGAGGCTGCAGACAGAAGGTCACAGGAGGAGGGGCTAGAGCAGGGCCCACCAAGTTAGATGGAGGGGGGGCAGGAAGAGACCCCACAGGACTGGGGACAGAGATGGGCGGAGAAAGAGGGCTGTGAGAAAGTGTCACCCTTGGTTGAAGTAAAAATCCTGACCCCTTTTTACAGACCCTAGCAGAGTGTTGTATATGTGTGTGGGGGGGGGGGGGGGGCGGAGGGCACGGCAAAGACAAAAGAGGGTGTGAGGGGACTGGATGGATGGAGAGCAGCGACACGTGATTCATGGCCTGGGTGCTCCATGCAGAGGAAACAGCCTATGTAAATGAGAGTCTGGGGTCTTTGATGACTTGACAGAGATGTTCACTATGGCTGGAGCAAAGAGCATGAGGTGGAGGTTGTCTAGAGAGTAAAGTAGAGGTCAAGCCACACAGGGCCTGTAGTCACATAAATTATCTGTAAAATGCAGATGAATGATACATACACAGCATCTTGCATTGAGTAGGTACTCAATAAATGATGGGCTGTTAACCATATATATGGTGACAATCCTATATAATAAAAGCCTAATATGCTAAGTGTCTGGTCGTCAGTTGTCTGTTCAACCAACCAAAGCATAATATGCTAATGATATGCTAAGGCTGCTAAACCACTCACTATGATGTGCACTGACCACCAGGGGGCAGATGCTCTTACCGGTAGATTAGCTTGCTGCTGGGGTCTGGTCGATTAAAACTGAGCAAGATGGGGCCAGACATACCCTGGAACCCTCCTGCGGTCCCTCTCAGGCCACCAGCCCTGATCAGCCCCCATCTGGACTGGGCGAGATGGCCCTGATCAGCCCATATGGCTGGCCAGGCAGAGGAACCCCACCTGTGCACTATTTCCTGCACCAGGCCTCTAGTATATCATATGAATATATATAGAATGAAACCTTTAAAATTGAAAATAGCTTCAGAATTTAAATTATTAGGAGATTAGGTGGAGTAGTGATAGACCTCAAAATACTAAAGGCCAGATTTGAGAAGCCAACAAGTGACATAATGTTACACAGAGAGAATTTCCAACATGTTATTCTTACATCAGGACCAAGACAAGGGCTCCCCTGTGACTACTTCTATTCATCAAAACTAGAAGTCCTTGTCAGAATAATTAGAGGGAAAAGGAAATGTAAAATGTCTAAATCAGAAAGAAACAACTCATTGGTGTGAATTATCCCTGAGTTCTGAAAACAGCAGGGAGCGGGGAAATGCAACAATGCAGCCTTGAGAGTAGCTATCTTCTCCCTCAGTTTGAACAGAGGGGCTATTTGAATCAGAGAAACTAATAATTTGGGGTTTCATTATCAGGTGTTTCTCATACATTGTGGTGGCCACAGCAAAGGAAAAGAAAGGCCTTTTTTTCTGTCCTTACAATCAGGTTTCCAATCACAACATTTCCATGATGTAAAGTTAATTACTCCTAAATCATTAATGGCAACTCCACCTAAATAGACCTGGTTATGCTCAAAAGTGTTCTATATACTGGGACAGCCTGTCCCAGAGCAGAGGTGCAGACAGGCCTACAAAGCTGGCGGGGCCAGGACCCTGGCTGACGCCAGGCCATGGAGGACCAGTCGAAGTTGCTCACCCTCCAGCTGCTAATGGACTACCTGGAGTACTACACCAGGAGGCCCAGCAGCTCCCCATGCCCGCCATCCTCACTTGAGGCTGCTGTGATGCACACCTTCGCCTCCATTTCCCAGGAGCATTACCAGCTCTCTTGGACCTGCTACCGCCAATGTTGTGGTAACCGCGTGGAGATGGTGGCCAACATGATGCAGGACATATTTTCACACCCCCTGGGCCCCAACTGGGGCTGGATGGTGGCACTCCTGACTTTCACGGGGTTCCTGCTGGAGAGACCGCCAGCAAGCCACAAGTTGGCACTGAAGAAGTGGGATGCCAGGGTTGACCTGGACTGCCAGAGCCTGGTGACCTTGCTGTGCGCTTGTCTCATGGGGCATCACCGCACCTGGCTGGAGGCGCACGGCAGCTGGGATGGTTTTTGCCGCTACTTCAGAGATACATGATCACGTTGGAGCAACGTGCTGGTTCTGTTTCTTCAATCATGCCTTACACTAACAATCATAGCCTATGTGTGCAGAAGTTGAGTTGCAAAATATTTAACCCATTTTACCTGCCTGCCTGTGACCAGCCAAGTGAATCCGAGATGTGAGAGAACAAAGTACCTTCTGAGAATTTTTACCTGCACCTTATCAGGATTCCTGTGGTGATAATTCAGCCAGTGCTTTAACTCCTGACAAGTAGGACAAAGACACTTGAGTGGCTCTTCTCTGACTGGGGAAAAAGAGAATGTAAAGGCTTATTGCTCCAAAGAATTGTAAAAGGAACTGCATTTCATTAAATGGGAAACCTGGTGCTATATACTTCACTTAGATAAATACGAATATGAGAATCTCATCTATCCACAATTTCATTTGCTACTGCTGGCCAATTTATCCAAGCACTGGGTTGGGGGTGAAATGGTGAAATGATATTCAACGTGCTCCAAGTACCAGTCTAACAAAGAATGTAATAGTAACATCTTCATCAGGAATTCTTTCTAAAGCCTTTGAAATTGCAT